GGCAGTATTTGTTATATTGTTGTCTTTTAGATAATAGCCATTCTTACTGGGTGAGATGATATCTCATTGTGGCTTTGATTTGCATTTTCCTGATGACAGTGATGTTGAGCCTTTTTTCATATACTTGTTGATCCTTAGTATGTCTTCTTTTGAGAAATGTCTATTCAGATCCTTTGAGTACTTTTTCATGGAATTATTTTTTTGTGTGTTGAGTTGTTTGAGTTCTTTATGTATTCTTTTTCTTTTTTTTTCTTTTTTTGGAGACAGTCTCATTTTGTTGCCCCAGGTAGAGTGCAGTGGTGTCAACATAGCAACCTCAAACTCCTGGACTCAAGCCATCCTCCTGCCTCAACCTTCTGAGTAGGTGGGACTACAGGCACATGCCACAATGTCCGGCTAATTTTTCTATTTTAAGTAGAAATTGGGTCTTGCTATTTTTCAGGCTGGTCTTGAACTCCTGACCTCAAGCGGTCCTCCCACCTCAGCCTTGCAGAGTGCTGGGATTACAGGTGTGAGCCACCAGGTCTGACTGATTTTGAACTATTATTCAATCTGTTTAGGTCTTAGTTTCCTCATCTATAAGATGGGGATATTCTTGAAGTCATTGGGTTGATTAGGAAGATTAGAGAGGTATGAACATACCTAACACATACTTTTCTTTGCTCAGGCATTTTTTGCTGAGAGAGGTTATATATAAGAAAGCAAAGTGCATTTGTATTAATCTATTCAAGAAACCAATTACCCCCATTGTATTCTGGTAAAAATTAGTTGATAGAATGTGGTTTAGGCCAGAATGCTTCTATATATACTTTTGTTTTTTTCCTCCATGATTTTCTACCTATTTTACTTTCTAAATCTCAAGAGTGGGTCTCACAACTTCAATTCAGGGGTTTAGAAAAAGGGGGATGAGGAAGTGGCAATCTGATAGACATCCACAAATGTGAAGAAAAGGGATGTCATAGGCAGCAGTAGAGATTAAGTTTTTCCTAACATGTTTGATATTTTGATCTGTGGCTGGTGCAGTATCCTGGGTCAGGTGGAAAGGGGGCAGAGGGGAGATGGCTAATGGTTAAGTCATCTGGGGAATATGACTCTGGTCCTGATATTGGTTAGCATGAATCTCAGAGATAGAAGAGAAGCCTCACCACACAAAAGTGTTTACAGTGAGTACAGTGATCTCTTTTATTAGTAAAATGTGGCTCAATGTTCAACTTTGGTCAGTCAGGTTAATTATTCCTTCTTTTTAGGTGATCACATAAAAAAGAATCCAAGGGAAGGTCAACTCTTTTCCCTTCTTGCCTAGCCTAAGTTTATTAATATTGCTCTCAAGGTAGAGCTGGGCCTGAGATTGCCATTTTTACCATGAAAGTTAGTGAATGTGTCTCCCTTGGCTCTCTCTTGTATTCTTTAAGTGTACCTCTTGAGTAGATGACTTTGCTATACACTGACTTTCTGAAGTGCAGTGTTACTCTTAGGTATTCTGTATTGCATCTCACAGTTGCCATTGTGTTTGCTACTGGTGAGGATAAAAATGAATGTTCCTGTTTATTTCTAAGCCCCATTTGCTGTTTTAGGGGTCTTTGGTGACCAGAGCTGCCAAGTGAGTCTTAGTCCTTTTCTGCTTGCCAAGTTTGGTGCCACAAGGCTGAAGAGCTATAAAGCACATCACTTTCTAGTTCTGTTCACTTTCAGTCCTCCTTCAGTCTTTTTCTTGTGTCTTAACCTCTTACTCGGTTTTTAGACAAGGACTTAGAATGATTTAGGCACTTGTTTTTAGTTTGTTTTCAGTCTTATTCACACCATTGTGAATCTGGGAGTTGATGGTTTTCAAGTTTTAATTGACTAACCCTATAAGGGGTAAAGGGAAAAGTATGCAACTTGAACCCATGATCTCTCAGTATGAAAGTAATGGATCTATTTACATGCAATGTTTGCCATGTTTTCTCTGTCAGGAACTTTTGTAAGGAAATGACATTCTTGCTTGTTTCATGAGGAGCAAAGGGCAGTATTTTCAGAAATAGCTATGTGGTCCCCTAGAGAAAACATTCTTTTGCCATGAAATACACTTACCAGACATTTTGGAAAAATTGCAGCCTAAATAAGAAGGATAAAACTATAATGTTGGGGTTAAAAATTATCTCAAAATATTTTAGCTAGTATTTTTGAGAACAGAGTTTCTTTTATTAGTAATTGGGGGTTTTCAATGAAGCAAAAATGTTTAATAGTCCAAAGTGATGCCTACTGGTTAAAAGCAGATGATGACCTCAAAACTAATGATGAAAATCTAGTGTTACTAGTAAATATTATAATTATTCTTGTTTTGCTTTGTTTAATTTGGGCAGGATTTTAATGGAAGCTTACTTCTAGATGATATAATTAAAAAGTAATTGAAATGAAAATAAGCTCAGATTATCAAAAGGATTATTTTCTATTTATAATATACATATAATCATAATTTCCAAACCATAATTAAGAAAGAAATGTTTACACATTTGGTAATGTTTGTTTAATAGTATATTCCTATGAGTACCGTGATTAATGCTCATTTTTTTAAACACACTAAAATTTCAAGTTTATTATAAATTTTAAGCAAATAAAATTATTTGGTTTTTCTTTTGAATGATAAACGTGTAGTCTATAGGGAAGCTTTACTCACTGTTTTTTTTGTTTAATTATTTGAAAACTCTTATTTAGTCTGCTTTATTTTGCTGCTAATAATTTTTTAAAAATAAAAATAACTTGTTCTTTCTTTTGCTTTAAAATGTTTGTCATCTCATGTATGCCAGATTTATTGGACTGCAGTAGTTTTAGTGCATTTTGGCTGGAATATTTTTTATGACATCACTGTAATCTATATACAGTATGTGATTTCAGACGGTTTCAGTGTTAAATATTTTCATAATTATGCTAGTTTTGGCAGTTCACTTGGAACTTTTTCACATCTCTTTAATGAACATGTTTTACTTCTGGGCTTTTGAGACAACCACATGTTTAAAAAATTAATAGTGTGCTTTTAATGTTAACATTGTGCAGAAGTATATGACTATGGACATTTTTAAGGATGTAAGTCGAACTAAAAATAATTACTGTAAGCTTATTCACAGTAGTAGTCTTTTAGTATTTAAAGACTATAACATCCCCCAAAATAACAGAAGGTGTCATTACAAAGATTGAATAGTGAAGTTGTTTTGTGGAATGAAATCTGTGATGTTTGTTTTGCATTAACTTAAAATGAACATAAGTTCATGAGAACATTTTCTTTGTTTATGATAGCACATCTTTTACTTTTTGCTTGTATTTAGTTTAAAATTTTTTTCTAATGCATTGCTAGCATCTGAAGCCATGCTCTCTTGTAAAAGATTCATTTTTTATTGTATACTTCGTGTGGTATTGAGTAAGAATTTTTGTTTTCTATAGGAGGTCTTATGGTTCTTATTTGCCTTTTGTACCCTATTTGGTAAATTAATGATGATTATTTTTATTTGCTCTTGAAATTTTCTCTTCAAATATATAAAATAGAAAAACTAAATTTGTTACATTTTTGTACCTATTATAAAATAGTGTTATTATTGATTAATTGATGGTACACAGTGCACCATCAGTTACCCTTTGCGTTGGTATCTTTGATTTCTCACTTCTCATGTGTATCTTTCCTCCAACCAAAAATGTGCTCTTTTATCCTTAAAAAAGTAATAAGAAGTTTCCAGGTGATTTTTACCTCATATTACTACCTCATCTCTTTTCTCCTGATAATGCCCATCTTCTTGAAAGAGCAGTTTGTTCTTATTGATTCCATTTTCATTTCTGATTTACTCTTTGCATATTCATTTATTGCTCCCACTCCTGTCTCTCTAATGGAACTACTAAATCTTCTTTCTTATTATAGGTTGTTGGCAGTCTTCTCCTATTTACCAAATCTTGAAACAGATTAATTGGAATGAAGACTGAGAATATCTCTATAGTTTTTAACATAACCCCATTTTTTATTGAACTATTCCATGCTTTTAGCTTCTGGTATTGTTCTTCCATCTTAAACAATGTATACTCTGGCCTTATTTCACTAATCATCATTCCTTATATGTGCTACATACATTTCTACTGTTTTGCTTTTGCTTATGGTTTCCCCCCCTAATATTTAGCCTCCAGTCTTAACCTAAAACATTCCTACATTCAGTTTTTAAGGGCTTGACCTTTCTAGGTCTTCCAGTAGAATGACTTTCTTTGTGCTCTTATTACTTAAAAACAAAGAAAAAAAGTGTTGCTTTGGTAGAATTAGTTATATGTGTGTTTGATAGATTCTGAAATCCTTGATAATAAGCATTATATCTAATTTATCTTTGTAAATCCAGCAATTGGTGTGTAAGAACATTATGTAAATGTTGAATCAGAACAGGAAAAGAGTATTCATTTGCATTTTATAAATAAAATAAATTTCTAAGATCTGTTTAATTTGTTTCTATATTATTCATATTGAAACCATTTAAACCTTATATCTAACATGAATAATAAATAATTCAGTAAACAGTGTTAAATAGGATGTAAAAGACTCTCAGGATAATTAAGATTAATCATTAAAGATGGCTAAGAAGAGAGCTTGGATTCAAAATAGTGAGGATTTTAACATGTCAACAACAAATAAGGGAAAAATTAATACCCTTTTCATTTATTTTGCACTTAGAGTTGGACATTGTTTAAAAGCTTCCATTAAATAGTCATTTCTTTTGCTAGTGCCATAAATAAGAATTCTTTGAACACATTGTCAATTAGTTTGTTTTGATACTCAGCTAAAGAAAGGAAAAATTTATAGTTTTAAACTAGTTATTTTTTAAATGCTGTTTGAGAATACAAAGTTTGAAAGTTGGTTATGTAGTTTTTTAGAGCTAAAATAAAATTAGAAATCTTCCTCAGTGTAACCATAAACTGCATATATTAAACAAAATTTTTCCTAATTCTTAAGTATGATTGATGCTTTTGTTTTTCTTTCTTTAAAATAAAAATAGGATGACCATGAAAGCTGTGGTTCTAATTCTACCAACCGTAGTACTACTGAGAACACAAAATCATCAATAAAACCCCGGAGAATTCAGCAGGCTGCTCCTACAGATCCTGACTTACCACCAGGTAACTTATCATGGGATTGATAAAGCCAAATTTTAGGTGTTACTGATTATTGTGTTAGGCCTTTGTAGAATATACATTTTTGGTGTCATAAAACTTTTAGGTTCTATGCATATGCACTTGCTGCATGACTTCAGAACAGGTTGCGTTCAGAGCCCTCACAAATAGCTTTCATTCAAATTTCTATCCTCTTTTGTAACAGGCTGTTCTCTGAGTTTCTTACAGCCTCTCTAAGCAAAAACTCATAGTGTCCTTGTTCTCTTTGTGTCTTGATAAACAGAGAAGAGACGAGATTGTTCTGAGTTTCTGGAAGCTCATCACTAATGGAATCACAGAATTTTGGGAATGGAACCAGGCCTTAAATATCATCTCTTTTATTTCCTGAAGTTTTTATTTACATGAGACAGTAGTGGCTTGCAAAAAACAGTTCCTTGGTAAATATTTAATGTAGGAAAAAAAGATCGTTACATGTCAGCTCTGTGGCCAAAGTGCATTGCTGCTTTTTTACAGTTGGAGTTGTTTATCAGTTACTTCTCTTTTGATTTTATTTATCAGTCATTCCTTTTTTAAGAGTTATATTGGACATGGTATATATTTGTTTTCTGTGTGAAAGGTTTGTAAACTTTTTGCTAACCTACTTAATTGTTGCTAGTCTTCTGGCACTATCTACTTGTAAGAGGCTGGAATTAGGTATATAATTTCACGCCCCCCCGTATATGTCCTAAGTTATATTTGAATTGAACATTATTAGCTAGTGCTATGGTGATGCTTAGTATTCTTTAGAACGCAACCTAACAAGCTTGGTAATCCCTCTGGCTTTTGGGTAGATTATTTGCCACAAGCTGCTGAAGGTGTCAGAAGAAATTTTACTTCTAATTGGTTCCAATTCTGTGTTGAGTAGTGTAATGGATCTAGAACTTTCTAAACTTTTTCTTATTAATTAACTCCTTGGGAAAAATCCCAGGGAATTAAATTAAACTGTAAGTTAAACTGTAGCTTGTTCTTATTAACTAGGCAACCCTTTTACCCCTCCAAATTTCTGACTGCATATGCTCTCAAAACTTCCTATACCAGCATGGTATAGAAGCATTGGTCAGTCTCTTTTGCTGTCTCTCTTGGCAAAGAATAATCAGTTTTAAATTTAATCATTGACTCTTGTTGCAAGAAAGAACTTGTTTAAGAAAAATTTGAAGCCATCGTCACTTGTTAATTTCATAGATAGAAACCTTCTGTGGGCTAATCTGCATATACTCAAAACATGTCCCAGAGTTTTAATGATTCTTAAAAGTCTGTATTATCAATAGATTTTAGACTGATACTCAGAATCACAAGAGTTAGCCTATTTTTATTGGCACAAAACATAAAAACATAAACATAGCATAAAACATCATATTTTTAGTAGCATATATCAGCATTGTATTCTACCTGAACTACTTAAGTGAGGTAGCTTTTGGATTAGCATGTACTTTCCTACCTTACCTAACAGGAGGGCTCATATCCTCCTTCATGCTGATGTAAATCACAGTGAAGGCATTGCTTTAAGAAGTAACTAAAGCTTTTGGCCAATTAGTGGGAGGCAGAGCAGCTAAACTTAATTTTGCCAAAGGGATAAAAAAGGGATAATTTGAGAATCCCGTTGGATAATGGTAAATCATTTTGTTTAAAAGTCAACTCATATCGTTATTGGAGGATTCATTTCTGGCAACCTTAGTCTGCCTGTGGATCATATTAAAGTTCTTTCATGGTAGAAATAAATTCCTGCTTTCAGAATTTTCTGGGGCAAAGTTATTTCTTCTAGGATCTGTGGTTGCAATTTTGGAGTTTGAGCATTTATGTAGAGCCAGAGATGATTTTTGAGAAAAGTTTTATTGTTGCCAATAGACAGTCATTTGTTTTATTCCTTTAAAGAATAGGTGGCTCTCTAACAGAATACAAATCATTATCTAATATCCTTTTTGTGATCTCTATTCTTGGAGTCTAGAGGAGTCTTTTTCAGACTCTGGATCCTGGCTACTTAGTGCATTGTTAAAACAATTTAGTGGGTCATGGCAACCATTTAAAAATATATGGCATAGAATAGAAAACCACGTAGCATATTAACATATAGTAAATGTTAGTAATATTTGAAGAAATTTGTATATGTGTATGTGCTTGTGCTAGGGTATGATATAATATTTCTTACTGGAGGAAGGTCAAAAGAGTTTGAATCTGATCGATTTGAAGAGAACACATTCTTTCTGTAAATGATATAAGACCTTCAATTATTGCTAATAATAACAGTTTTGAATTGTGGGCTTAGCATATCCTATAAGATATGGTGACAATTAGAGAATTTAAGGATATTTCATTTATTTATTTATCATTCATGTTTCCTCAGTATTCTCTGCACCTTATCTCAGCGTAAAATGAGACTACTTCTAAGCTAGATACCTGGATTATTCAGTTCTGTACTCTGAATTATATAGCCCTTGGCTTTTATTGAAGTATTAATATGTTATAAGAAACAGTGATTTGTGGGCTTCTTCTGCATTTCTCTAAAATGGCTTTAAAAGGCATTGTCCTTTAATTTTTCAGGATCTCTTAATTGTATGTCTTTTTCCTATTACTCATTTTAAAAAATACTCCCTAGTGGGAAGTGGTGGCTCAAGCCTGTTATCCCAGCTATTCAGGAGGCTAAGACAGGAGGACCTCTTGAGCCCAGGAATATGAGGCTGCAGTGGGCTATGATCATTCCACTGCACTCCAGCCTGGACAACAGAGAGAAACCCCATCTCTTTTAAAAAAAATTTCTACCTTTCTTGTCTGCTAGGAAGCTCAGAGACAAATTTTGTGTTCCATTGTATAGCTTCCTCTTTCTTGGTATTGCCATTATCTCTTTCCTTTTCTTCTCCTTACCCTTTTACTTATGATATGTGTATATGTATGTACACATTATATCACACACACACACACACACACACACACACACACACTTCAGTGGAAATATTTAGGATGTGGTTAAACAAAAACTGTGTTGCCCACTGGATCAGAAGATGTGATTTAGTCATCTTTGATCTTTACCATCCAGCACAAGAGCTAGCAAACATTTTCTGTAAAGGGCCAGTTAGTAAATATTTTAGGATTTGCAAACCATGTGTTTTCTGTCAGAGCTATCTCTTCTGATGTAGCATGAAACCAGCCACAGATGATTAATAAACTAATGAATGTGGCTGTGTTCTAATAAGACTTTATAAAACCAGATGTCACAGGCCTTGTTTTGCTGGCCCCTGATCTACTACAATGTCTGGTTCATAATGAGCATACATGCTTACTGAAATATACAAAATCACATATTTTCCTCAGGCTTAGATAATCCAATTCATAGAGTCACTGAGATTTGGAATAAGACGCTATCTCAGATTTTCTGGTCTAGCGGTTAGTCTCTTTTAGGTTATGAATCCTTTAAAACCCATTGAAAAAATAGTAGACCCACATATGCACATTCAAAATTTGTTTATATTTTTAGGATATTCATATACCTAGAAGTCCATCCATAGGCTAAGCTTAAGCCTCTGATCTAGCCTACATTTTGAGAATGAGAAAATGGAAATTTTGGTATTTTGGTATACATGGGGAGACATTATTAAATTAGCAGATATTTACTCAGCTTTTTCCTGTTTTCTACAGAAAATATTGAATATGAAATAGAGGACAATATATGTGTGTATGTGCTGAAATGCTTGCCATAGTGGGCATTTAGGGCTTGGTTTTCTGAAAAGTTTCTTGAAGGAAGTTTAATAGTAGTTAGAGGATATGTCAGATAATTTAAGAATATTGTAATATATCAACTATTCAAGAACCTGACTCAAAAATGACAGTAAATTGTTATAGAAGATAGCACAAACATTTTCTTTGTGTTTGACTGTGGGGTATAAATATTTAAAGCTGTTTCTTTCTGGAGCATCTAAGAGTAGGAAAGACTCTGTTGCAAATGATTAAAAAAACACAGAACTTATTTCATATCTTTTTATGTTTTAACATTATAATGCTTGTATTGTTTTAATATCATCCATTAAAGTTTTCTGGTAGAAATTTTTTTAAAATTTAAGCAACAGTGATAAATTGTATAAGTTAGGGGTAATGTTAACTGGTGGACAAGTTAACCTCTAAATTTTAGTGGCTTAACACAATGGAAGTGTTATTATTTTCCATGTAACAGTTCAAAGACAGTGTTCCACCAGGACTCCAGGCTGCTTTTATCTTGAGGCTCTGGTATCCTCTAGGCCAGATTTGGATTCTGCTGCTTTCAGCCTTTCTAATAGCAAAGAGTTTGGAGAAGACCTAGCTCCTTCTTAATATCCCCAGCTGGAAGCGATGCATACTCTTTTGCTTAAATTTCACTGAGGATGGACATTATGTATGAGTTGGAAGTTATATTTTGATAACAATTCCACATTCTGGAATTGGGAACACAATTTATTTATTTATTTATTTTATTTTTTTATTTCAGCATATTATGGGGGTACAGATGTTTAGGTTACGTATGTTGCCTTGCTGCCCCCCCCCCCAAGGGAGCACAATTTATTGACGGATAGCTAGCCATCTCTGCCATATAGGTATTCTTTCTCATTAATATACCAATCCATTTTTAAATAGATTATGCTTCAAACTATTATTTTGTTAATAACCTGCAAAATATGTTTATATTTTATTATAGAAAAGGTGGTAATTGGAGAGCCTTTATTTCATTCTAATTATATTAAATTTTCAAAATATTGCTTAGTAGAGGCAGATTGTTCAGTTTTCTTAATCTGTATTGGCTATGTGAATGAGAATATGCTATAGCAGTTGGTTCATTGAAGGCTATCTTTGTCCTCAAAGAATTAACTGTTTAGTATAAGAGATTTTGTACACTACACAGTGCAAAACAGAAGGAAGAAAAGCTCTAATGAAGCAAAAGAAATATCTTTCGGGCACTGAAAGGAAGGGATGGTTATGTCCAGGTATGTGTGTGGCTCCTGAAGCACACATATAAAACAGAGGCAAGGCTGGGTGTGGTGGCTCACGCCTGTAATCCTAACACTTTGGGAGACCGAGACAGGAGGATTACTTGAGGCCAGGAGTTTGAGACCATCCTGGGCAACATAGTGAGCATCATCTCTACAAAAAATAGAAAAATTAGGTGGGCATGGTGGTGCACCTGTAGTCCCAGCTATTATGAAGGCTGAGGTGTGAGGATCGCTTGAGCCCAGAAATTTGAGGTTGCAGTGAGCTATTATGACACCACTGCACTCTAGACTGGGCAATAGAGTGAGTCCCTGTCTCAAAAAAAAAAAACAAAAAACAAACCCAGAGGCAAGACAGATTGAAAATGAAAGGATAGGAAATGACATAGCAGCCAAATACTATCCAAAAATAATCTGTATTTTTAGTATAAAAATGAGGCAAAATAGAACTAAAAGCAAAAGCATTAATGGAGATATATAATGCAGACACTAAATAATAAAAGTACAGTTTTCCAGAGAATATAGAATGACGTTTTATGCACCTAACAACCTTGAAATGTGGTCAAGGATGAGAAAAAGCTTCAAATTGGATGTTCGAATGTCAACATTACTGAAATTATTCTGGTAGATTCATGTAAAACTGCTCACTAAGTATGTAAGACGGTATACATTGTTTTTATGCACACATTTAATATCTGCAGATATTGCAGATATTGATAAACACCTAGTTGAAAAGGAAGTCTCAACAGATTTCACAGCATCACTATCATATACATCATCCTCGTTGACCACAAAGCGATTCAATTAGAATGTAATTATTGATATATTTGAATTTTCACCTATGATTTTATTTTTTGTTTTACCTTTGTGAGTTCTGTTTTTTGTTTCTCTTTCACCTCTCATGCCTACTGTTTACTTTTCAGAGCCCTGAAGTAGCTGCTCCATACATTCTCTCCAGGTTTTATTGCTGCGTTCACTGGGAAAGACAGGGTGGAGTGCTTACTTTATCTTACCCGGAACTGGGACCTATTAACATTTTGGTATACAACGTCTTAAGAGACTCTTTTCTTTCTGTGTACACACACACACACACACACACACACACACATACGCTTTTTTGCTTTTGTAATCCGAATTTTTTATTTACTGTTATGCCAGAAACATGCTTCCATGTCATTAATAGTTTTTCCAGTGCCATTTTAATCACTGTCATGTATTCCATTGTATAACTACTCTGCAGTTTACTTAACCAGTACCTTTTTGTTTGATATCTAGGTTTGTCATTTTCAGTTTTGAAGAATGCTTTAACAAACACACTGGTGGGTTAAATATTTGCATGCACCTCTGTTTATTTCCTTAGGAGAAATTCTTACTAATTTGTAGAATCAAAATTCATGAGTAATTTTAAGGTTTTGGGCATGTCCAAATTACTCTGTGAAATGTTTGTAACAATACTTTCTTCCAAACACATTTTTTCGAATGTGTGTTGTTTTTTATTGTTAAAAAACATTATTTTCAAACCTGATAGATGGAAAGTGCTATCTCATACATTTTATTACTAGTTGGTATTACCATTTTTACCATTTTCTTTTCATCACTCTGTTGCATAGGAAAGCTAATTTTTATATTTTGTTAGCTAGTCAATATTCAGTATTTTTGATTGTTTCTTTTGGATTTTCTATAGAAAAATACTATCATCTTTGTGAAATGATGATTTTGTATCTTCCTTATCAATACTTCTCTTTTTTCCCTTTATTTAGTTGTCTAGAATTTCTGTGACCATCTTAAATAATAATACTGATAGTATTCTCAACTCACATTTTCCTTAGCTCCTACATTAATTGCCCAAAGTTATTATCTAATTAATAAAATCTGATGAATGCTTTTGATTCATGTTTTATCGGACCTGTCTACGGCATTGACAATAAAGATTCGTTATTCTTAGCCTTTTTAAACAAGGTTTTATTTTGAAATAATTTCAGCCTTCCAAGAAAGGCAAGAACATTATAAAGAACTGAGCATGAATTGCCTATATGATGCCATATAACACCTGAATGAGTTATTTTATACCAAAAACTTGACTAAGATGTCTTTATGTACTGTAACCAAGTCATCAACCATGGAATTTCTGATTATGAGCAACTTTGGCTTCCCAGTGACCACATCAGGATGAATCAATTGCAGATGGTGTCTCTTTGTTAACTAAAATTATTTAATATATGCCATTTAAGAATATCAGAGAAATATGACACAATCTTTTCCCTCTAGGATTTCATATTTTATTAGAGAGGATAAGTATACTTATACATAAACAAAGGATGAGTAGTAACATAAGCCCAAGAAAAGTGGTAGAGGTAGTTCTCCTTAATGTTGATGTGTAGGGTGGGGGACATTGGAGAAGAGGATATAGAGGAGGGGACAGTTATACTGGGCCTGAACAATAAGGGAGAATGGACAGAAAATATTCTAAATGGGAGGAAGAAAATGAGCAAAGTTAGTGAAAATTCATAGTATTTTCACCTGGTCCTGTGGGTGTAGATGTATGTATTTGGAAGAGGGAGTTTTGTGGGTGGGGGAGAGTAAATAATAAGAATTTCTGGAAAGGTTGACGAGTAACAGGCTATTTTAGAGCCATCTAATATTACATCTTGTAGGTTCTTATCCCCAGGGTGACCTTCCATTTTCATATGTTTATTCAGTAGATGTAGATTTTTATTATGCTGTTTGAACAAATACACTCCTAGAGAGTCTCTAATTATGGAATGATGAGTGTTATTAGATCTGTCTGACACTATCTTGTAGTTTGCTTAAAACCAAGTGAAGAGGGGTGTTAGAGATAGTGTATCATTTATTCCATTGATAAATTCCTGTTACTTAGGCATTGCATTTTTAATAAGAAAACATAAATGGTGTTCTATAGAAGTAATTCTTTAGGTATTTGATTACTGTGGTGAATTGGCTCATTTATCTCAATTTGTATGTTAGTTATATAATGTGAATGTAAGAGAAAGTGTTAAAAAATAGATGAAAAATCCATCAGTAGTGTTCTGTATTAAAATACATATTATATTATTTTTCTATTGCTTCACATTACATATTTTCTCTAGTGCTATCTTTAATCTTGTTTTGAAGATAATAAAAACTGATGAACTCTTAAGTGGTTTTATGAGTTCCCTATTGATGACAGGTTTTTGAGAAATATGAAAACCAATATTAGTCATGCTTACTTGACTTCTTAGAAATATTTATTTTTATTTTTAACGTCTGTGTTGAGTAAGAATATGGGGTAATGTACAAAGGTTGAAAATTTTGATACTTAAAATTTCTTTTGGAAGTCTAATTTGTTAAGAAATATTTTAGCATATACTCTTATTAAAGAGTATTTGTTACTTTAAATCTATTAATATTTTGCATGCTACTTTTATAGCATATGATAATTGGTACTGTAAAAACTGCTGATAGTTTCCATATAGGAGAAAACCTTGAATCTAAATTGTGTTACATTTCTTTTCTATTTTCATCATTGGGAATACATGAAGGAGTTTTGCAAACAGGTTATGGTTGAATAGGTTTAAATAAACTTTCTCCCAGCAGGCTTTACTATAGATGTTAACAATGTCAGTTGCTGACAAAAGTTGATTCTGTTTTGTCCAGTAAAGTTCTGGTTTAAAGAATACAAGCATATGGTTGTTTCATGAAATAGATAAAATTTTAATTACCCTTTAAATAGTATTTTTTAATAGTGGAAATACGTTACCTTTTAAATAACTTTTTATAGTGGAAAAGATTTATTTTTCTCCTACCTTTTAAAATGCTTTTTGTATTTAGTTTTATTTATATTTTCAATTAAATTCCTCAATAATATATTCATATACATACACATTTATATGAGAAACATAAGTGAGATTATGGAGTATTCCACAATAGTATGAAATTAAAACAATTTTTTTTTGGAGATTCTAAGCAAGCCATGGAGAGAAATAGAATGTTTGCTACTTTTTAAATTTTCAGTTTTTAAAAATATTATTTCTGTTTTTTATTTCCCTATGTTCTCATTCTGCTTTTATCTAATTTCTTTCCTTCCATGTTTTTTTCTTTTTTATATCTTCTTCTTTGCATTATTTTAAAATCTTTTTTTAACACTTTCTTTCTACATTTTCTTCTTCATTCACATTCTCTCCCCTAGTCTGTTTCAGTATTATATATTAGTGAGTACAGTTGAATTCATTGTGATGGGCATGTTTCTCTTCCCTTTTTTCCCACAGGCATAACTTTTGAATATTTTAATGGCTAAAGTAGGAAGAGATGATGGTAGCTGGTTCAAAAAGCGGCTTAAAGAAGCTCATCTTCTAATATACTATATAATCAGCATATAGTAACATTGCTTCATTTTGGAAAATGTTTATAAAATAAGCAGAAGTTGGACAAATTACTTGTAGTATAGGATAATCTTTGTATAGGATCTAGTATTTTGTTATTAAAAAGATGTCTCTGTGGTATCTCTTAGTACATGAACACTTTATTATATAACTTCTTGGTAATGATTTTTGTTGGACTGGATCTGCTACTTATTACCTGTGTCACTTTGGCAAGCTTTTAACCTATCTGAACTTTAGTTTTCTCTTTGAGAAATATGCTAAATAATACCCACCTTTCACATATATTAAGTTTAATAACATTTTAAGAAATAATTATTTATTGATATATTCGTGGCTAATTCTTTTTTTCTATTTTATAGGTTATGTACAGAGTCTGATCAGACGAGTTGTAAATAATGTAAACATTGTTATAAATAATCTCATACTAAAATATGTTGAAGATGATATTGTCCTTTCAGTCAACATCACTTCTGCAGAATGCTATACAGTAGATGAATTATGGGATCGTGCATTCATGGATATTTCTGGTGAGTAAATGTCAAGAATAGTGTATATTTTTCTATAATCGAAACAATTACCTTGATTCCTAACCTTTCTTTTTTTTAAGGCCAAATAGCTCTTTGATAAATCTAATGAAATCTATATGCCCCCAGCCTGGAAAAAAATTCACATAAAGAAAATTCAATATATAGGAGGTTAATATACCCCTTAGATTAAGAAACTACATACTCGTTTTTTGATATTTTTATTCTTTCTCACCCATCACATGCTTGTACCAAATGTGATATGGAATATGGTCATGCATTACTTAACAGTGGGGTTGTGTTCTGAGAAATGTGTCACTAGGTGATTTTGTCATTGTATAAATATGAACATCATACAGCGTAAACAGCCTATTACACACCTAGGCTATATCGTATAGCCTGTTGCTCCTAGGCTACAAACCTATACAACATGTTACTATACCAAATACTGTAGGCAATTGTACCACAGTGGTAAGTATTCATGTATCTAAACATATCTAAGCATAGGAAAGGTATAGAAAAATACAGTATTATAATTTTATTGGACAGCCATCATATATGCAGTCCATCATTGAAGCATTGTTTTTGTGGTGCATGACAGTGCCATGGGCTGTAGCAATAAAAATTAAATTATGTTTGAATTTTTAATGTTTTTGAAGGGAAGGGAACATGTTGCTTTTACATAGCTTGGTGATGGGAAAACAATATATCTGATTGATTTATGTTTTAGGCTTGAGTATTCAAGAGCACATTTGGAATATTTTTATTACCCTGAAGCCTCCTTTTAGCTATTACTTGCTACATTCTTCTGCTTATTGTAAAAGAGCTTTTAAGTAATAATAAAATTTTAAATACCATTTATTTATTACTATTTAACTTACTATGTTCTATGTGATAGGCATTGTGCTAAGCATTGAAATTATAGCTGTGAAGGAGATAGATGCTGCCTCTTAAAGTTTGTCAGGAGAGATTAATTAAATCATAATATTGGTACATGTTCTGGTTGGGTAGGAGTGGGTATTTTTGGACAAAATAGTAAAGGAACTATTGTGAGCACCTTTAATTTGTGACTTATGTATTTGTTAAAAGTGTTGGCCCCGGCCGGGCGCCGTGGCTCACGCCTGTAATCCTAGCTCTCTGGGAGGCTGAGGCGGGCGGATTGTTTGAGCTCAGGAGTTCGAAACCAGCCTGAGCAAGAGCGAGAC